TCTTATGAGATGGGTCATTGGCCAAAATGTTCTCCCATCCAATGGGTTGTCTTTTCATTTTGTGTATGGTTCTCTTTTTAGTTTGATGTAGTCCTATTTGTTTATATTTTCTTTTGTTTCCCTTGCCTGAGGACACATATCAGAAAAAATATTACTACCAGAAATGTCTATCTTTGATTCATCATGTCTGGGCCTTATTTGTTTTTTAAGAGTAATGAACAATCAATGGGCCCATATGTCTGATCAAGTGGATAAAAGTAAATTCACAGAGTTACTTTTCATGAATCATTTCTTAAGTCTCTGATATTAATTTTTCTACAAGTGAGGAAAATGGCATCTAGCTTAGATTATGTTTGTGAGTGTGTGTGTGTTTGCATGTGTATATATGTATATATATATATATATATATATATATATATATATATATATATATATACTTGCATGCTGTACATGTGTGCACACCTTTTTCTTCCTAAGCTACAATAGCACTTTATCATCTTATGAACACTATCACTAATTTGCTGGTCTGTCCTCCATCTTTCTTCCCCTGTGTCATAGCCTTTTGGAAATACAATATATGTCTTATTTTGCTTGTTTACCCAGCAACACTTTATGAGTGTTATGTTTTTTTTTAGCATAATTCTGGGGATCACAGGGATCAACATATCTTTTTGAATAAATTGAAAAATATATTTTCCCTGGCCTATGTATCATCATTTGTATCTCTCCTCTATTAACCCAATGTCTCCTATTTTAGCTACTCCAATTTATTTATAAACAAAATATTTTTTACCTCCCCCCAAGGCTTGCTTTATAACATGTCTTTCCATTTTGCTTTTTTCCATCCCAGACTTCTCACGCCCTCCCAAACCCCGCCAGTTCACATGGATTTACACCCTTCTCCCTTGACTTCCTGTCTCAAGTCTCTCTTTTGCTTCCTGCCAATTTTCTCTGCCTGTGGTAGATTACACTAGTGCTAATTATTCTGATTGTTGAGGTTGGTATTCATAGCCTTGAACTTCAGGGCCATTTCGTTTAACATCTTTTCTGTTTCTCTTTATTTAAAATGCTTGCTCTATTTCTGCTGTTGACTGATCTCTCTACTCTCCCCTCCTGAAGAGTTTTACTCCAGTCATGGATCTATACACCTTTGTCACCATTTTCTTCCACTCACTCCCCATTACTTCCTGTCAATGTTCTTATCTTCATCTTCACCTTGTCCTTAGGTGTGTTCCCACGCTTATAACTCTTCGGATTCTTCTGATTCATGTTTTTTTTTTTTTTGTTTTTTGTTTTTTTTTGTTTTTGTTTTTGTTTTCCTCCATGACTTGCACTACTGTCCTTTGCCATTTGGCCTCAGCTACCTAGTGGCATATCCATCCTGGATCTCTAGATACCAAGGCAGCATTCCACCTCTGCCAAAATAACCTCATTCTGGCAGGCCGAATCTAAGGCTATAAATTCATTTAGTAGAGTGGTAGAGTCTAATCATTCCCACCCATCTTTCCCTATCCAATTCCTTCCCTTTCAGCATCTCTTTCAGTATAGGAATATTTTACCTGGGCATAGGGTGCATAGCCTCGTTTATCTTTAGGTCTTCTCTCCCAATTTTGTGTATATATCCTGAGTTCCATCAGAATTGAGGCTTTCGAAATGCAAAGCCATTTTTTTTTTCTTTATATGATAATATCCCTTCCCCATGTAATGAATGCAACAGTGTTGTGTGTGTTGGCTAAGGAAACATAAGGGAGAGGGAAGAAGTTACAGAAAGAGAAAAAACGTTAATATTTTAAACATTTTGTTCACTGTCCTACCCTTCCTCTCTTTGAGCATAACTGTCTATCTATCCTTCCATTCATCCCCTTCAGCTCCCACAGCTGTTCCTATTACTTAAAATTGAAAGTTGTCATTTTTAAAAAAGAAAAATTAGCCTGAAAATAAACTATAACATTTATGTACTATTTTTCTTAAGTTCACTAAAAAAATTCAGATCGCTGCATTGGGCAAGGCAGATTCTATTGACTGAACATAGTAGGTGAAAGATAAAAAAATCAGCCAGCCATCAAGGCATTTATGAGTCTCTGAAAAAACAGTAAGGAAAAGGGATTTTCTTAAATTGCCTCAGTAATTCATTGACCATTAACAGTACTTGATATCCTGGGATTAGAAAAATGTAGAATATAAATAGGAAAATACTTTTTAAAACTGTTTAAAAGGTTTTGGAAATAACATAAAGACTTCAAGGTGTTCTGTTAACTATTGGTTGGCAAAAGACTCACATCTATTTGATTGTCTGTTCTAAATATCAGTTGTATATATTTTTAAGTTGAAATTTTACATTCAGCATACTCATTGTAACTATTCTTCTACTCTTGGAATTTCAACACATTTTGGTTAAAAAATCCAACATGAGCCCTCCAGACAGTAGATAGCTGAGAACAAAATTAGCAATATTAATCTGAATTTTTAACATAAAAATAGAAAGAAAAAAAACCTAAAGCATTCTTTGAATCTGTAATTTGGGACTTGAATCTTGATCTTAAGTTTGCAGAGTGCAGAGAGCATTCTACCATCAGGTCCCTCTTCTCAGTCAATTTTATTTATGTAAAATCTTTCATCAAAAGATCACAAAGAGCTGTCTAACCAGCTATAAAGAAACATAAATCAAAAAGAAAATGAAATGCTCAAACAATAAAATTATACATTAGAGGCCCATTTAAAGCAGAGCATTTTAAGATGAGAGAAAAGTCTTGGCTGGAGTATATAGAACATAAGTTATAATGGGAAGCTATTTCATAATTTGGTGAAAAATGAAAGAGGCCCACTTCTGATAGTGGAGAGCCTATTAATTGGAATGATCACTTGCATACCAGTGCTTTAATGAAGGGGGTGAAGAGCACAATAACGTGAAGTGGAATTGACAAAGTATGGTGACACTGTTCTTGCTGCTCCAGGGAGGAAAAGAATTTTTGTTTTATTCTACAAATGGGCATTGTGCTCAAGTATCATGCTCTTTAGCATGCCTATAGCCGATTGCTATTGTGCCTTTCTCAGAAGGCTCTATGCTCAAGTCCCACAGTATATATATAATATACATATCATATTTATGATATATATCCCCCACACAGGGGTCTCAAGGAAGCCACGGTGATATTTCAATCTCTGCTGTCATCTTTACTTGCTTCTTCAGCATAGATTAATTCAGTGCTCCCCAAGTCTCAGGGTTTCCAATTTATAGTAAGAAAATATTTATTTTAATGTCCCTACGCATAGGGAAAATATAAGAATCTTATAACACTATTGCTTTAACAAAAACCAGCAGAAGTTCTTTTAAGCTTGCTTATATAAAAAGGGTAAAAAAATTTTGAGACATCAATCTTATGTTTTATTGGCATTATAATAAATATCAAGAAAATGTTCTTTGGCATAAAGTTTATAACATTCAGATTAAATCCTACATTCTGAGTTTTAGAATTTCAAATATCTCTAAGTTTTCAGTTTCCTTTTGTTCAAACATGACTCTTCAGATAATTTATCTTATGGCTTGAGGATTATGCTTGACATGTTGTGGGAATAAAATTTACGTAAAATGTGATATTTATACCTTTGTTAATGTTAAACTTCATGTTCAAAATGATATACACTCTGCATGCAATATATACTGAGTTTAAATGGTAATGGTACAGATATACAATTTTAGCTTTTTCTTCATTTTATGATCTCAAGAATCTGTGGTTTATTGTTTGTATGCTCCCCAGAAATTAAGAATTGGCAAGCATTGGACTAATATGCCAGTGAAGGAGGAAGAGGCGACAAGGAGGATGCAACACAGGGCCAGCTCTGTGCATTAGTGACATTCGAAGGAAGAAGAGAAGCTAGCTATGTAAGTAGGGAAAAAAGAACTCTCAGCAGAGGGAACAGAATATACAAAGGAGGAAAGAAATGAAAATGTCTGAGGAATTGAAAAAGTTCAATGAACCCGACAGCAGTTAACATAAGGCAGAGAGAGTTGCTGAAAAGAAAGATTCATAAGCCAGGTGCCAGTTGCAAATAACAGAAGGCAGTCCTAGCTATCCTAAGCAGCAAGGAATTCATTGTAATGTAGTGGATGGCTCCCTTGTGAAAAACATGGGGAAACAGGCTTGAGAAATGAGCAGGAACTAAGGAAGAGCAAAAGGAGAAACTGTCTTTTTGGGATAATGCTGGTGTTTGTACCTCCGCTGGACAGTTAATGCTGCTAATGGATGTCCATAAGGAAGAATTTCTTACCTATCTCCCCAGCTTTATGGCCTTCTCTTGGGATTTGGAATCCTACCTGGAGGGAACCAACTGGCCAAGCATAGGGTCATGGCTGTGTGCCTAAGCTGGGGGAGGGGGATGGAGAAGAAATACATGGACCCTTGGCTTCAGGAAGACTCACAAAATGGGGATCTGCCATCTCATAGGAAGGGAATTTAGTTGGCAGGCAGCCAAATGGCCCCAACCCATGGGAAGGAATTTAGATTTTGTTTATGTGCAATGGGAGGTCCATAACAGTTTTTGGTAGCATAGTTCTGTGTTGTTTTATCTGCAGATCACTTTTGTTGTTGTCTTGAACATGTCTTGAGTTAAATGAAGTAACACTCTAATCTTAACCATAAAGAAGAAAAATATCAACACTAGATAATTTAAACAAAGTCAATAAAAGGATAATCCCTTCTTTCAAATAGTAACTAGAATTTAAAACCTGATCAATAAGGTATAAGTGCTTTGCATATTTTCACTCTTACAGTTTTAACTGCCTCTAGCTTATCCTTTAAAGTCAGGATTGAGGAGGGTTTAGTTCCGACCTCCACTTTAACTGGAGGACTAAAGCAGGAGATCAAAGAACAAAACAGATACTATATAAAGCAATGAAGCCTGCACCAAGAACTTGGTAAGGTTTCAGTAAAACTCAGAAATGAAACTGGACATATTTTTTCTTCTCTCTCTTTCTCATTCTCCCCCCCCCCCCCCCAAAAGAATCCAAAGCTACAGACAAAGCATTTGGCCCTGTGAACACTGGTATGTTAAAAATTGCTACTCTTTTCATTGTGCCTTTTTTGAAAGCAATTTTGGAAAAGTAGAAATAATTTAAAATACAATTTTTTCCCTACAGTCATAGATTTTCAAATTACTGGCAGACGTGATGCAAATTCTTAGTGGGTGTCTAAAAGAAAGGAAAATTCCAATTGAGGAAGGACTGAAATTTGCTGCCCACTAGTTTCTCAAAGTGAACAGTAGGAAATCATTTGGAAATCTGAAAAGGAAAAAGATCTCCAGTTTTCTGTGATAGTGTCATGGTAGTAAAATTCAGGTAGTAATATATTTTAAAAGCTGAGTTAGTAACCCTGACAATCTAATAAATTTGCTAAATGATTAATAATTTATAAAAGTCTTTTTGTAACAAAAAATGAAAATTTCTCTGAATGCACAGTTGAGATAAAAATAAATGGGAAGCATTTAATAAGATCAACTCTTGCCAGAAAAGCCAATTGAATTATAGTGTGACATGTAGCTCATCTCACCGCACTTGCTCACGTATGCGTGCGCACGCTCGTGTGCACACACACTACTGACACAACAAATTGGATATGCTTATTTGATCAATTTGTCAATTGCCCTTCAGATTATAGTTTTTAGAGCCAATTGGATTTGCATTTAGAAAAAAAGAAGAAAGAGGAAAGACAAATTATTTGTCGAATATTTTCTTCTAGACTAGGGGTGTCGAACTCAATCAGAGAAGGGGCCAAAATCTAAAATCCAGCCTAAATCGCGGGCCGAATGGTTTACTGAACAGTCATAAACTGTCATTGTGATGGAAACGCAGCGGAGTGCAGTGATGACAGCCCGGTGCGGGCCACATTGCAAGGCCTGGCAGGACGGATTTGGCCCGCGGGCCTTGTGTTTGACACATGTGTTCTAGACAATGTGCTTGGTGATTAATATGTGTTTTTATTTAAATCTTATGATAACTTTCCAGGTAATAATTACTATTTGATAAGTGAGTAAATTAAGGGTTCAGAGAAGTTAATAAGTTTTACAAGGTCACAGAACTAGTATGTATGCAGAGCCGAGATTCAAAGCTATGTTTTGACTAACTCCTTATTTATATTCTTTCTGCTCTTCCTTGCTGCCTCCCAGAATGAAAAAGAAAAAAAGTAAGCTGCTGTAATTTAAGGCTAGAATGTGTTCTTGTATTAGATCAAACCACAGAAAATTCTAATAGATTGTTTTCACCTACAAAAATGGCAATATAAATGTTTTCATTAAAATTATAAAAATCTGCAAATAATGGTATATACTTCATTGCAAATATTGGTGAAATTAATTTTGCCTTCAATCATTATCTTATAATGTGATGTTTATGTAAATAATAGTAGTGTGCAAATTGTAAAAATATTAGAATGGTTTTTGTGCAAAGAAAACCATAAAAATTAACATAAAAATCAAAGTCAAACAAAAATTTAAAATGCCAAGAGAGAGACAAATTGAAGCAGAAAGATTAGATCTTTCTGATTTGCCCATGGTAACACAGCATTAGTAAGCATTAAGGGTACTTGTGTGAAATTGATAACTAAATTTCACTGAGATATAAATTATCAAACCCATTAAGTTATTAAAAATAATTATTTTAAACACATTTCTCTGGAACAGCAAGGGTTGAAAACAAAAAGTCTTCATACATTTTTAAGGTGGAACTGATTGAAAATCCTAATTTAAAAGTACCAAGTGATAAACTGGTGAAGTACATTCACTTTTCTGATCAAGTGCATTAACTTTGCCAGCTTTGAGTAAATCATTCATCATAACAAAAAATGCAGAGTATAAAAATTGATGGACAACTCAAAATTCAAAATGCATAATTTTCCTACATATTAACAACTAATGAAGTATGTGAGCTATTGGTATTAGATTAAAAATTAAAATCATGGAGAAACAATATTTTGATTTGTGTTTGAACTAACTCCCCAGTTGATTTGTGTCTTGATTGTAAATCTCAATAACTGTAAGTGGGAAATATTGAACATATTTCATTGGGACATCAATTTGGGAAGAGCTCAGAGCAAATAATTATACTAATTATTTAAAGAATTAATTTATCAAAAGCTTATTCAATACCTACTATGTGTCATTAGGGATTTAGAGATTAATTAGGTATCTCAAGGAAGTTTCAAGCTGCTTCATCAAGAAAATGTGAATCTTTGTCCTTCAAAGGACACTTGGCTTATGTCTTAGTGAGGAAGGCAGAGAAACTATTAGAGACATTTTCTTGGCACTTAGAGCTCAGACAATGATACTGCTTCCTGTTAATATAATGATTATTTATAATAGAAGGAAAAATCCCTTTCGGTGTTTGTACTCCAGGAAGAGTCTCAACATTGTCCCCTCCCAAATTAAGTCTCAAACAACCAGGGAAAACTAGAATTGGGAGGAACCTAAATATGGAGAAGTTTCCTGGATTTTTTTTCTATGATAAAAACACATGAAAGCATCATTTAAATTGTAAGGTATTTGTAAAACCCAAAGCATTATGATGGTTGATTTCAGCAAAAGATGTTTTTGCACAGTGGACTTGAGGTGGTAAGTATTACTTCCATCACTTATGTTGTTGTGGGATGACTTGTTGAAGGACTAATTTTAAAAGAATCTGAAAGAGGTCAGAGTTGGACTTTGAAACAGTAACTGGAGTGACTCTTAAAAGTCTGTTAAAATTCTTTATTTTGTTATACAAACCCTTGTTTTAACATTACTGTCCCACAGCTACGGGCATGATTGTTGCACATAGTTTTTTTAAAAAAATTGTTTGACATATAGGTAGCTAGAGCCACTGCCTGAATTTGTCTCCTCCATGAATGATGTTGGAAACCAGACATGACTGGGAATTTAAAGGACATTGCTTTCCATGTGAGCTGAGAGGGTCCAGATAGCTTGCAGATTCTAGAGTTGGGAGTGCCAGACTTCTCTGAGTGTAGTAGAGAGAGCACCAAGTGTTCTGATGGAAACCCAGGCAGGCTCAGGGTGGCTTCTGTTATTCTCAAGAATAGAAATGTGTACCTGTAGTGAGTCTCCTTTTGTCCGACAGTATCCATAATTCCAAGTTTAGGAACTACTGGTAGAAATTTTCAGGTCAGTGCTTAAGAAATTCTGGCATCCTCTGGCCTTTTCTAGTGTGATCCTCTGCCCTGTGAAAGATTTCTCGGAAACTTGGGTCAGAAGTTAAGGGCCTTCATGTAGTGGAAAATTGGGTGAGTATATCTTTGCTTATTCTGTTTCAATTTTAATAGAATGAGATTTTTTTTTTTATCATAGTCTTGCTAGAAACTTCTGAGGGAGTGCTTTTCTGCTTTGTCACCTCATGACACATAGAAAAATGATAATATTGTATATTACTGTGGGGTGAAGTATTGAGGCTGTTCATAGAAGGAGGTGATTGAAGGCCTTGCTCAACATCTCTGGGGTCAGAAAGAATCTATATCCTGGTTATATTTATTTATAGTTAAGAGTTGCAATTCTTGTTTTAGGGCAACTATGTTTATTACCTAGTGAACAAATGGTAAACTCTAGCTTATAATTATGGTGGTGAATATCTACTATGTTTCAAACCCTGTTCTCTATACTCCATATGTAGTAATTTGTTTAATGCTTAATAAACTATGAGGTAGGAGGGCCTAAGCTGTCAGTTGGACATACCCCAAGGGCCCAGACTACAAGGGCACAGGCTGGGCTGAGGGACTCCCCTGAGTGCATGAATTTTGTGCAGAATTATACTCTTAGCCACCATACCATATTGCTTGAAGGTAACAGCTGTAAAAGGGTGAATTAAGCCAATAATCTATATAATATTGGCACCAAGCCTTTTGGGTATCTAACGCTTTGAAGAAGAGTTTTGACAGTAGAAAAATTCCACTTAAAGCAGTAATCAAAACAAGGCTGAAGTTAGGATCTGGAGAAAAAAAAATTATAACACGAAATTATGAATGATTGAGCAGTAGAATATGAAAATTAATTTTTTTTAATTTTGAGCATAAAACCCATAACCTTCAAGAAGGCATGGCGATTGGCTTTAGAACCCTTGCATGCAATGGTTTTTATCGCTAGATAAGGAGGAGGTCCTCAGGTAATCAGGAGATCCAGATCCAGAGGAAGACAGGGTAAAGAGGTCTTTGATCATGGAGAAATGGTTCTATTCCTGGCTTGGCAGAACAGAGGCTGTCTAAATTCCACTTGACAGTCCAAAGCAGAACTGAAGAGAGTATGTGGCAGAAGTCCCTCGTGAGGGGCAGGGCTGGGATTTGGGAGGTGGAGTAATTACGTTAAGTCCTGGGGCACTTCCCAGTACTGCATGCAACTATAACTCAGCCTCGGAGGGCCAGGCCAGCCTTGGTTTAGTGATTCCCTTTTTTGTACAACTTCCTCTGACAGAAACAACTGACCTGAAAATCTAAAGCTTTCCCTCCCTCCTCTCCAACCCAGAAATTATCCAGCTAGAAGACCTCATTGCTTCATGCTGATAAAGATGAGGAAAAGAGGAGGACAGCTTATGGTTGATAGGAGATAATATCAACAGTTGATAACTCATAGTGAGTTAATTAGTGTCTAAATTACTTCAGTCTTAAATTAACCCTGAGGTTCATTCAGGAACAATTTCCCTGGAGGGTCATGAGGTGGTGGTGGGAGAGACAAAACTAATATGTGATCACTGAAGCCTTCTTCCTCCTGGGCACACAACCAGACTAAAGCTCCCTTTCAATTAGGTGTGGCCATGTGACTTGAGTGCTGGCCAATGAAATGTGTGAGGGAGTGGGGGACACCTTCTCAAAGCCAGAACCTTAAGCACTGCCCTCACAATCCTCCTGGCTTCCTGCTCTCTCTCTTTCCAGATCTGCTGGCCAATGATGATGCAACAAAAGACTACGAAATGGCAGAGTCACAAGATGGAAGGTGGCTATATCACTGAGTCACCACAAGGAAGAAAACCACCCCCCTAATCAGAACACCCAATTGAAATTTGTGAAGGCAAGAAATGAATTTCTATCTTGTTAAACCAATGAGGTTTTCATGTTTGCCTTTATAGTTGCTAGCATGGTCTAATTCAGTGTTGATACTCACAGAAACAACATGTAAATATGGTGCTTCTGTGTGCGAACTATACTTTACACAGACAAAAGAATACTGGAACTGCCCCAGAAGAATAGAGAATGTCTCAGGGTAGTTAAAAGAAAAAAAAAATTATAGTCTCAGATTCAGGAGCCTTGAAAGATTTGGAGGTAGTGGATGGATGGGCTTAGTGAGTGGCACCTAGTGCCCCAAATGAAGCCCACTGGAAAAAAAAGAGGAGAAACTCTTGCACTTAGAAGGTTGCTGCAGGCCCAGACCTATCCCTCAAAGAGCCTCCCCTGCAGAGAACAAGGTATGAAGGGAAGGAGCATCCCTACTGATTCCTAATCTTAAAAACCCTGCAAGAGCATTAGAACTAGTGTGAGGTGACCCAAGACTCCACTTACAAAGACCATTTCTGAAAAAGCAAAGAGAAGAAAATTTGTCTTTTTCCTGTCCTTTCTGGCAACTGTCAAGCAGATAGCGATATCAAGAATACTACCAGTATTGGCCCCCCATTCCAAGTGGACAATGTACAGCGGTTCTAAGAAGTGCTTTGCAAGAGCTTCTTCCCAGGGCAACAGCCAATGTTTGGAAGTTCTGCTTTCCACACTGTTCCATCAGGACAGGTGTGCTGTGGACCCCAAAGAACTTCACAGAAATTTTGATGAAGAGTGTCTGGATGTTACTGATTAAATGGGTTGTTGAAAAGGCTCAGGTGTTTCCACTAACATTTAAAAAAGAATAATTATTCTTGCAGTGATCTATATACATGCTCTGAAAAACTAAAGATATAAAGTATAACTTTCCTTTGATATCTATGCTCTGGAATAAGTTCACTGCTTTTTATTTAGTCAACTTTTATTGGGAGCCAGTTAATTGAGAGAAGTGGTAAAGAGGGTTGGCTACAGAAGTCACAACACAGGATTTTTTATGAATTTGGTGAGGAAGATATGAACACAACTCATAAGATGAAGTGAGTGATAGGAAAAGGAGGACAGGGAGAGTGTTGAGGGTAAGGTGAATATTAAAGTACTCTGTGTTGTTCAAGACTGATATTTAGGAGTCTTTGTGGGTGGGGAGGGTTTGGGGGCAATGGGGCTGGAGGTCATATTTAAGCCCTACCCAGCAGCAATCCATGGGTCTGGTGACCTGGTGTCAACTGAATTAATTTAACATTGTGCACAGTGTTTTCCCTGTGGGGCATTGCCGTACAAGTTATTGCATCAAATCCTTTAAATAAGAAATTTTCACTTTCCTTGTATTAAGTGTGAGTGGAGTCCTGTGATTGACAGCAAGTGTCATATGCACACACTGTGTTTTGGGAAGGAATACTGGGGAAGATATATACTTTTTGACATTTCAAGGAGGCCTCTGTGTGAGTTATTGCTGAGCACTCAATGGCTGACGCTTTTGTTTATACCATCCCTGAACTACCGGTTTCAAATTCATTGTTTGTAAAGCTCTTTGGGATAATTTGTATATGAAGGATTCCATATAAAACCAGTGTTTACTCCTTTTTGTATTGTGCTTTTGGAGCCTGACACATAAGGGTGCTTTTATATGCAGCTCGCAGGAAATTAAGCACTCAACTCCTATTAACGCTGCTAGGAACTGGGATCCTGGCGGTCTATCTAGGGGCAGGGGAAGGGGGCTCACAGCTATGCAAGTAAATTGAAACAAAGACAGGGCAGCACTCAGGTATTTATTCAGCTGTTGAAAGTTTTATGGCAACCAGGCTACAAATAATGTGAATTATTTTACTGAGAGTTTGCTGGAGAAATGGAACTTAAACTACCTCCTTTGTTTCATTTGCTAGTATGTACGTTGTATGTGTGTATAAGCAATAAAATGTCTATTATCAGCATCTTGTTACCAGAAAATTTTCATTAATTGACATAATTGAGGAAATGATGCTATTAATCTGTATCATAAGCCTGAGACACTGCAAAATCCTTAAATTAAGTCTTAATGAGTTTTGATGTTTATTGTTTTTGAATTCTTTGAGCATAGCTAATATCTGTGACATGTATGGTGACTTCCTAAGCAAAATATAAATTATTCAAAAATATTTTACTTTTAGGTCATGTTGAATAAAAGAGTTTACATTAAAAGGCATACACACATATACCCCATAATAAAAGTCTATAAATAGATCATATTTTTTAAATATGTAAAAAATAATAAACTGTCTTTGCTGTTATACACAATATCCTATCTAATAAAATAGTAATGTGCAAATGGCATCCACAAGATGGCCAGCAGGGGAGGGAAGTTGGGAGGGACCAGGCCTGCAGGGAAGGGCAATTTGGGGAGACCCAGGACTGGAGGGGAAAGCAGTTTGGGGGGACCAGGCCTGCAGGAGAGGACAGTTAGGGGCAAACAGGCTGGCAGGGGAATAGTTAGGCATCCATTAGGCTGGCAGGGGAGTGGTTAGGGGGTGATCAGGCTGGAAGGCAGAATCGGTTAGGGACAATCAGGAAGGCAGGCAGGCAAGCAGTTGGGAGCCAGTAGTCCTGGATTGTGAGAGGAATTCCAGATTGGAGAGAGTGCAGGCTGGGCTGAGGGACAACCCCCATATGCACGAATTTCATGCACTGGGCCTCTAGTATTGTATAATAAAAGAGTAATATGCAAATTGACCATACCTCCACTATACCCACAAGCCATGCCCACCAGCCAATCAGAATCAACTATGCAAATTAGCTCAACCAGGATGGCTATAGCCACAGAGAAAGCAGGAGGCTTAGGTTTCCCCGGCAATGGAGGAAACCAAGCTTTCCACCTGCCCTAGCCTGACTTGGCCACTGCTTAAGGCTACAAAGTTTCAATTATAGAAGATAAATAAATCCCAGATACCAGGGCCTCCATTTGGGTCTCCAGGGTGCATGGCTAGCCTGCAAACCACAGGCCCCTTGCCCAGGCCACCCCAAGCCCCAAGGGAACACCCACCCTGATCCCGGATACCCTTCAGGGCAAACCAGCTGGCCCCCACCCATGCACCAGGCCTCTATCCTATCCAATAAAATAATAATATGCAAATTGAACGTTACTCCAACACACAAAGATGGCTGCCCCCATGTGGTCAAAGATGACTGCCCCCAAGTGGACATAAGATGGCTGCCACAAGATAGCCAGCAGGGGAGGG